CAAGCTCCTCGAAACTCTCAAGAAGCATGAAGACACTTCTGCCTCCCCGGACGAGTTCCTCTTCGAGACCATCATGGAGTTCGCCAGCAAGCCCGCGGAGGACCAGGCCCCACCTCCACCGGAGGGGGTTCATACACACGAGAAGGAGCAGCCTAAATACTCACAGATGATGGGTGCTCTTGTGGACCAGGTCAAGCAGGAGCTCGAGGATGCCAAACCCGACAATCTAATCAAAGCTTATATTCAAGGTGTGACAGGACACAAGACTAAGGTGCAGGATCTGCAGAAGGAACTGTTGACAAGGCTTGCCGAGCTTGAGAAGGAGGAGGGAAGCAAGATTACCAGCGATACACTGCACGAAGGTTTCAATACTTCCCACATCGCCAAGGCTGCGGAGAAGGAGAAGGCCGCTTCTTCGGGAAAGCAAACAGAGGTTGAGCTGCTCAATCCCGGCTCGTCAAGCCAGGCTTCCAGCGGTGCGGTCGATTATGATGACGATGACGACCCTGCGAATGTTGAGATCAGTGAGCTGGCCAAGAAGTTTGCCGCTCTCAAGCCCAATGACTATAACTCTTACCTGTCATTTATCTCTGCCAATCCTCAAATTGTCGCCGAGAAGGAGACGGATGGACTTCTTGTCGAGGCCTTCAACAGCCAAATTAAGGGCGATGAGGCATATGCCCGCCAATGTGTTCATCAAGGACTGCTCTTGCAGTATTGCCGATCCCTCGGTCCCGATGGTATCAAGCTCTTCTTTACTCGGTACGTATCTCAACCACATATACTCTAAGGAAGCCTTCTGATAAAATTACAGCATCACCACACAAGCCCACCGTGCCTCCACCCTCTTCAACAACGATGTCAACGATACCTATAACCGAATCAAGACTCGCGCAGTAGAGCTCAGCAAAGATAGCTCTGCATCTAACGATCCTGCCGGCGTGGAACAGATCCAACTACACGCTGTTGACCCCAACACTAAGATCACTATCAACCTCCCCGCTGCCAACAGCCAAGACCCCACGGAAATCGAAGCGCGCAAGATCTTTGATGCTTTCCCTGCCGACCTACAGAAAGCATTGGCTAGTGAGTCACTAGACGAAGTGAACAAAGTCCTCGGCAACATGACAGTCGATGATGCAGAGGTCGTTGTTGAGCAATTGGGAAATGGCGGCATGCTCAGTCTCGAGGAAGGTATCATTGACAGCACCACGGAAGAAGGCCAGATGAAGCTGAAGGAGCTTGAAGCTGAGGGTAAAGAAGATGTTGGAGAGCCAGGCGGCGATGTTACGGAGCTGGATTGAATCTAAAAGTGCTGCCATTAACAATTCGAAACGCGATAACTGAATTCATGCAAATATTCTTCACCGGTATTTAATTAGCTTTTAAAATAATTCAATCTAGCGTAATAGCGACAGGGTCTGATTGTGGATACCTCATCATCACGAACCTATAGTTACCTAAGGCCACACTACTCCGCTCTACTAGCTCTAAAACATGCCAGTGGTTACTTCTTTATTTGCTACTGTGAAGAATACTGATCCCCTATAGGGGGAAATCTCCACCTGTAGCAGACTGAAACTAGCATGTTATTATTATGGTGGATCAACATCTAGGTGGTCGGCGCCAACGTTAATGTTTCGGGGCAACTAACTTGAAACGTCCGAGACCATCTCTAACTGTCGGAGAAATACTTGATGTGAATATCGGAGAAACATATCTCAATTTCCAGCGAAGTAGTCCTGAATTCCGTAGCACAGCGATTTCCATTTTAAAGCCCCTTTCCCAGGCTTTCTATCCCACTCCCAGTTGCCACACAACATACGAACAGCAACCATGAACACTCTCGGAAATATCGCAGCTCTCGCCCTAATCGGTCTTGCCAGTGCACAAGACACTGTCGGATTTGGACCAGCCTTTTCCCTCGGCCCTACACAGTCTTGGATCCGTGAAGCCAACACCACATTGGTTCTTCCTACGACTCCAAGCCCCCAGAAAGACCGTCTCGCCCTGTGGCCTGGCATGGGGACAAGCGGCGGTGACTTGATCCAGGCTCTCGCCGTCTCTTTCTCCGACCCTAATGCGTAAGCTAATTGGGGAGTACTTCTTGCAGAAATCACTGTCTAACTTTTGATAGTAACTGTGGAGCAACATCCGGTCAATGGTGTACTTGGGCTAGTACTCTTCAAGGGGAGCAGCTTGGTGGAAAGCAGGTCCCTGCTTCTGCCGGTGATGAGCTTACAATGCATTGTGAGAATTTCACTGTGTATTATCATCTCCAGGGCTAACAGGAAGATAGACAAGTACAACGATGACACTGGCAAATATGACCAAACAGTCTACATCAACGGGGAGAGTGTTTCTACTCTTTCAACCAGTGAGTAATCTGTTCTGTCCATATGTACTCTATGATCTAGCTGACTTTTGCTCTAGGTTCTGGACAAGCACAGGGTTGGGGCACTGCTGTTGAGTGCCAGGATGATGCATGCAAAAGCACCACTGCAGCACATGGTGAGTTTTCCAGCTCTATACGAATATTCATACTTGAATCCAGTGTACTAACAGACATGCTTACTCTAGAATACCTTGACACCACTATCATTTTGAATGCTGCTGATTCTACCTTTGCTGGCACCTTGGGCCTCAATGAAGCCACCTCGTCTGGTCTAAAGACAACCGATAACAAGGTCTACACTGTGTCGAGCATCAAGATCCAGTCTCACACTTACAACCTGTGAACGTGACTATTCGTTCGATCCGAGCATACTATTCCGTAGCAATTATTCTTTGGAATACACTAGTTTCTTACTGCAATAGATGCGTTGGCAATTTTGGATGTGTGTTATATCGCCTTCAAGTTACTCCACGACCCTTCAAGTTGTATGCCCTAAACTAGTGGTGGTGGCATGATGTGAACTAGTAGTCATAAGTAACAAACTCGAACTGTCTCGTATCTGCCATTTGCTTGTTTGGCAACTGCTAAACTGTATCCATGCCAGTGGATTCTCCGGGGGCAGTATGATAGTAAACCCATTTCCAACCCCCTGGAGAATCCATACTGAAACTCACCTGGGCATTCACATTGGCATGATCCATTAACGAGAGTTATGATAGACTGGACTCCAGCCCTGGCTGTTCAAAGTTTGGGGTGTCATCGAGTATTCAGTATTCCAACCTTGGAAGGTTCTGGCAGCTACACCTTGAGGTTTGAACTAGGCTCTGCATATTTGAGTAAGAAACAGCGGATGAATCATGAGTACTGGTATTGACGATGCCATCAGTCTGAAGTATTTAAATTACACATACCCCCGGAGGCTTCGCTGCATGGAGAGAGACGAAAAATTCAATAACAGGACGGGGTAAAATAAGAAAAGAAAAAAGAAAAAGAAAAACGAACACCTCTAAATCCAGACTGACGCATACTGCTGTATGGCTAAAGAAAAGAGCAGCAGAAAATCCAAAATCATATGACGCCCAGGCGTTAATGATTCGTGGAGGATTCCGATATTTCACATCTCACGTTCCCCCAACGTCCACCCTTTTAACTCAAAACGTAAAGCAACCTAGATCCCGCTGGCACCTGGAGCTTCCTGGTCTTTCCGCAAGTCGACGAGCAACTCGCGGAAGCGCTCCTTACCAGAGCCGCTGCCACCACCGACGGAGCCCTTGCCGGAAACATCGACCAGTTTGGCAATGCGCTCCCAGCTAGTGCCACCGGCAGAGGTGTCCTCGCGGTTGGCAAGAAATTGTTCGGCTTCGGTCTTGGTCTGGGCACGGTGCTTGTCGGCCTTGTTGTTGTATGAGACGTAAAAATCATCGACGTCCTCCTGGGCCTTCTTAACAGTAGACTCCTTTTTTTCGTTCGAGACCTCTGCGCGGCGGGCGATCTCGGCATCACGCTTCTCGCGCCATTCACTGTACGAATATGATCCCCCTGTTAGTTTGGATGTATAGAAATGCGGGACAAGGGGGAACTGTAAACAGTATGCGCCGTGTCAGGTGAGGGGTTCCTCGGACTTACCGGACGGGTTCCGGCTCTGTCTCAGGCTCCTGAGTACTGGGGTATCCGGTGGGAGGGAAAGGAGATCCAGTGCCTGTGATGGTACCACCAGGGGCAACGCGCTACATCAATTCACCATCTCGTCAGCACGACCCAAGCTTGGTTTCTAGGGGAGGGGCATAACATCTGATTCATACCTCGTTCTGATTCTGGGTCTCCACTGATGGGAATGAGGACTCGAATCCACCTAGTTCCTCTCCGGGGGTATCGTAGCTTCCACCACCAAGCAGGTCGTCATTGCCGTCGGCGGCGTGGTCTTGAGGGGTCGCGAATTGGTCGGCGTCTTCACCCAGAGCGGCGCGCTCACGGGCCAAAAAGTCGTCCTGGCCGACGCCAGTGTTATCAACAACCTCAGTCTGGCCTGAAGAGATGACAATGTCAGTTCATGATTTCGTGGATGGGGGTCCTCGTGCAGGTGGGTGGAGGGTGGAGTGTACCTTCAGAGAAGTCCTCCAGAGAAGGGAAGCGGTCGGCCATGTCGCTGAATGAGTATTTGCTTTTTTTTAAGGGGAAGCGTAAAGAGGCAAAGAATGGAAAGAAAATAAAAGCAGGTCCAGAAAAGGGTGGAGATGTAAATGGGAGGCAGAAGTGAGTGTTGAAGTGACAGTTGTTGCCCGGCGAGACCCCGGAGTGCCCGTCCGTCACTGCCAAGGCGGTGAGAGCAGTTTGCCTCTTCAATATGACACAGCTTCATCTTCCTTTCACTGCATACAATCTTCACAATTGGCCTGGCTGTTTCTGTTCGTGCCTGTTCGGTCTGAGATAACTGAAATTTATGTTTTGACCGTGATACATCCATATTAGCCTAGGTCCCACCGTCGGATCCTAGCTACACGTTCTCACGTTTGCTCTTGTTGTTCTTGCGATAACAGCTCCCCATACCAACAATCCTCATCAATCCCTCTTTTCTCACCCATAGGGGTCATATTACTTTCCAAACATGGCATACACGGATGATGCCGTTAAGGCAAAGCTCTCTACTCTCAACGAGACCCAGGAAAGCATTGTTACTGTCGCTCAATGGGTCATGTTTCATAGGTACACTCTGAGATCTTTCGCTGTATGGTGACAACGCTAACCTGAACCTCTACTCATAGGCGACATGCCGATCGAACTGCGCAAATTTGGCTTCAAAAGCTTCGTGATGCGCAGCCCCCCTAAGCGACTAAGCCTTGTTTACCTCGCTAACGGTACGTGACACATCCGATTGCATTGCTGTTGCATCGACTAACTACTACCCAAAGAGGTCGCCCAACAATCGAAAGCTCGAGGAAGGGGCGAATTTTTGGATGCATTTGCGCCGGTGAGTCGCTGTGATCGTATTCGGAAAGTTCGAGGGTCAGGATTGACAAGAACATAGATCATCGCCGAGGCCTCGGCCACGGCATACAGAGGCTCCTCGGTGGATATCCAAGGGAAACTACGTCGGGTGATTGAAGTATGGAGGCAGCGCAATGTATTTGACGTACCAGTACTCGATGCGATCGATGCCCGTGTGAACGGTAAGTTCCTTTGTATTACTTCGGGGCAGCTTGCACCAGGTTTCTGACTTTTAGTCCCGATTCTAGATATCGACAAGACGCGGTCTACAACCAAGAAGCAACCTCTCGGTGGCTCTTTTTTCAAGGACGCTTCGAGCGGATCGACTCCATCCGAACTCCAGCCGCTGGTCCCCTTGCAAGTCGCCCTCACCAAATCTGCCGTGTACTCGAATACCTCGTCCACGACTGCAAACGCGGAGTTCGCAAAGCTTCAGAACCCCGAAGATCAACCACTGCCTCCCGTTCATGCAGCCCGCCTCAGCTCCTTGCTCAAGACCCTCGCCAATGCCGAAAGCTCTGTCTCGGAGGTGATCAAGTCTCGAAGGGCCTTGATTGAAGGGCTTGAGAAGCTTCTTGCGACGAACCGCACGCAACTCGCAAAGGAAGAGACCATGGCCGCTGAGTTGACTGAGAAAAAGGCACAAACAGAATCCAAGAGGCGCGATGTCGAGGATGCAATCGTTCGCGGCTTCACGGACGAGAGCGCGGGTGGTCAAAATCAAGGCGGCGATGGTGGAGATTACGCCCGACCTGAGGTCGAAGCATTGACTCCTCCTCCGGTGGAAGCTCTCACCCCAGTGGGATCACCCAAACCGGCGCAGGCACATGTACGGGCTAACCATGGTCCCTTCTCAGAAGAGCCATCCGTTCACTCGCCTGACGCCCTTGTCATTCCCCATATGGGTCAGCCTGACAATGGAGCTTCCTTCCCAGATCCATCTGATCTCTCACCTGGTGGAGATAACGACTTTGACCTGAGCAATGGTGCAGCCAAACGGCGCAAAGTGGTCCATGGCGAGGAGGATTATGCAGAGTTCGCGAATGAGGATTTGGATGCGGATGTCGCAGAGCTGATCGCACAACAAGGGCAGCAATGAGCATAGGCGGAGGCTTATCGCACTTCATTTCTCTCGCACTTTACCTGCACGCAGGAGCTTTTCGTTTTGCTTCAAGTTTTTTACTATTCGTTCTAAATGGTTCGCGCGTAGTACATACTGCGTATTTCTGTGCCTACTAGGTAGGGATGATGATCTCGTGAAAATAGTACTACAATATCCAATGGAAGTTTTCCACTTGTGATAATGCCTCTATACTTTGTTCCAAGGTTCCCTGTAATATGCCTACTAGCTAGGTACCTATTAAGGAGTTCTAGTAAACGTAAGTATGGCTAAGGACGGACTGGGGGTATCATAATGATACAAGAGTCATCCGGCGCTTCTCTATTAACTATGGTATGAAGAACTTCAAGTTGAAGAATGATATCGTTATCGAAATATGTCCGGGTCCATCCATCTGTCTCTGGCAAATCGCCTTGACGATGAATGCCTTCTAAGACGATCCACCGATGCTATAACAGTGCGAATATTGTTCGAACTTTCATCATCAGGTGGCGGTGGAGATGGCGCGCTGCTTTTCTTCGGCTTAATGACTAAAAGGATGATCAATCCTATCACCACAATTGCCAAGAGCAACATCGCCTTCCGCTTGGTGGTCCGTCGTTGATAATTAGTGGCCTGTGAAGTTAGAACAGTTCTGGCCGACTGAAGACACCTGGAAAGAGTGGCATTGGATAGAAGTAAACTTACCACTTTGAGCTCCGTATCTGCGGACTTGACATCAGTATTCATTTTTTCGACATTGTAGTCGATACGATCGAGCATGGTTCCTTGGTCGATGATCATGCTTTGAAGTTCGCGGAAGATGTCGGACAGCTCGATGATACCCTTGGCAATATCATTGATTTCCCGCTCGCGTTGCGCAATCGCGGCATCGTTTACGCCCGCTTGTCGTTGCGAGGTCTGCATCAACATTGTCTGCGAGAAAGATTTGTCTGCGTCCGACTCCATCAGAGAGGGATCTGTATACGGGTTTTGGGCGGGCGTAGGTGCGCTATCGAATGGCGTTGAGATCCCATCCAGGTCTCGGAGTTCTGCAAGGTACATCGTCAGTCAGCAGTAGCTCCCGAGTATATGAACAGGGCAAGCTGAGAGGAGAACAAGGGGATGACGCCGCGGGGGGGGTGGAAGGAATCCATACTTCTCAAATAAGTGCTTTGTTTCTTCCGGAACCTGGCACTGGCTTCCTGGACCCTTTGCGCCAAGGAGATCTGGATATTCTTCGCCATGGTCTCCTCGCCGCTCGTGACACCAGGCTGTTCGCGAACCATCGTCTCAATCCGCTGGATAGCCTTCTGGCAATCGTGGAAGCTCCGAGTAATATCCTGCGTCAGACGCTCGATTGTGCCTTCGTCCTTTCTGCGTACATCTTCGTCTCCGAACCCAGGCAGTAGGTGCTTCTGATGCAACTTGTCCAGTTCCGAAGACTTCTGCGCAATATCGGCCAAGTACTCAGAAACTTCCTCCTGTACATCGACCCAGCGCGGCGGAAGCAGATCCATCTCAATAACCATGTCGCCATCTTCTTCGAAGCCGCCCGTCTCGGAGATCAGGCGACGACTCTCCTCCGGCTGGGACGTATCGAAGCCATTGGAGGGGCCGCCAAAACGGGGCTTTTTGGAGGGGTGGTGTGCAAATGATTGCCGGTAGGAGATATAGCTATTAGAAGATGCAATCGGTTAGTATCGCGAGTCATGCTGTAGCTGCGAGGGTCGGGGCCTAGCTGTCGGGGTAATGTGTACAGGTTGGTGCGATCCCGCCACATCGTGGCTATGGGGTAGTGAGAGAGGCGGGCGAGAGGGGTTTATTGAGGGAGTAGTGTCGTATAAGCGAATATCATTATCGGTGGGCGGTGTTGTCGCATTCGACGGGGTGAATGGCGATGAGGTCAATCTGGAGTTGAACGGGGCTTGAATGAGCCGCGATTGGAAAGCTCCCGTTCTGTCCGCTCCGCCGTATTACCCCGTCATTACCGGGCTGTGCTCACCAATTCTGCCTGTATATTTGGTATGGCCTGTATAGGTCAGATGGGCTATCGACTATGCCACAGAACTTGAAGATTTGTATGTACCCCGTAGTAGCTAGTATGTTCATGAGTATATTGCAAGCACACCAACTAATGAAACTCTATTATTTGCACCGGACGAAGTCACAGCCGCGGAAAGCGCCTCTAGACACGTATCCGAGCTTATGGTCTCTAAAAGAAAACAGTCTAGCCGTGTGACCACTTGAATGACCTGAATGATCGATGAGGTTCTCGTTCTGATTTGCTCACCCCGTATAGGTTCGTCCGGGGATCGGGGCGGAGCTGAGTGATGCTTGTGATGAGAGGTTCGTTCAGGTTCATGGGACTAGTGAACCAGGTAGAATGCCCGCCGGCGCTGCCAACTGAAACGACCTGAACTTGAGTAGGAATGATATCTGATTATATACTAGTGCTACTAGCAGTCGAAGCCCCATAGCAGTACTAGTAGCCGTAGCGTTGTATATTTGTTTTTTTTTTACAAATTTTCAGTTATATTATTATAAGCCCTAGAGGTCGCCGGGCGGTGTTGGCTCTCTTTTCTTTCCTCTGCTTGCCCAGGTGTTACTTACCTAGCTACTAAATACTACTCGTAGGTATCACTCACCTGCTAGTGGGCATCTCATTGCGATTTACCTAGGATCAAACGTACATTACAATTCACACCGTGACCCAGAATGTTGGGGTGGGACCCCTGTCATGGTATTAAGCAAGTTCTATTTAGGGACCAGATCTACTAACCGAGTGATCCATCACTTCTTTGGTTCGGGTTCTCCACCGAGATATATGTGCCTGGAAATGATCCAATCAGTGTTGATGGTTGATAGAGGGAGTCGCGTCGTGGGAGCAGACCTCGACAACCTTGGAATGCTGTGTAACCTCGGTCAACAAGTGACACAGGCACGCACTCAGGGCGTATCTGAAACAGCTATTGCCATGTGGTCCCTACGTGCCGTCTATCTGGTACCCAAGTAGGTTGAATTTTTTGTTGGAAATACTTGGAACAGTACATGAATAGCATAGAAAAACCTAGTCGCCTAGAGACTTTTTGAAGCACTCCATCGAAGAAAAAACAATCAAGTTCAAAGTTTAGAGTACCGGGAACGGCCCGAAAGTCGGTGTGGTCTTGCACCTGGTCTCTCCACCCTGCCGCAGATGCAAATGCCATGCATTGCTCCAGGGCTCCGTATATATGCGCGGCTAATACGGGCTGCTTCCCAGTGCACGAGCCGCGTGAGCATTTCTCCGTGATACGGGTGAAGAGTGGTTGCAGGTGAACACGTGTATGATATCATATCGCAACGCATCGCGTGCATAAGTTTCAACGGCCAGCCTTATATACCTAGGTAAGTTCACTTCAAATTCTTAGTCTTTCTTCTCAAGTTCATGCTAGATGGACCCGATATTCTCCAGTTTAACCTTCAAATTGCTATTTATCTTACAACATAATGAGGTTCAGTCGATCCGATGAAGAGAATGAGCCCCTCATATCCCTACAGAGCAAAGGCCCTTGTACTTTGAGCCCTACCAGTATCGGTTATGACGATGATATGGGCGGGACGGGCCGATTTTTTGAATCAAACTGGGCGCGCTTTCGCCAACCCTCGGTATGCCACAGACTGCCTGTGCTGCTTCCAGAAATGATAACTTGCGGGCTATGGCTAACATGACTATATTGTAGCCAGCATGGATCATCTGCCTCTATTCCATTTACGTTATGGTTTTTGGCATCTTGACTGTCCCCGAGCTCAACTCAATATTCGTTTTGATATGTCACCAGCAATATTCCGAGTCAGAAAACAATTTGAAGAATCCCATAGGGCAATCGGAAAGCAAAGGCCCGGATCTTTTCAAGGAGCTTAATAATTGTCTTGGCAACGAGCATGCACAAGTCCAACTATCGCAGTTTTTACTCTACAGCGAAATGACGTCCGGTCTTCTCGGTGCCCTTTCGACGCCAATATTGAGCTCTCTATCGGATCGGATCGGTCGCAGGCGAATCCTTGCTTGTACCGCAGTAGGTCCGCTTATAAAAGAAGTCTTGCTTCTCTTTCTGCTATGGTATCCCGATTCTATAGATGTCTACTGGCTTCTCGTTGGATACGCCATTGAGGGCCTCAGTGGTGGGCTTATAGTCTCGATAAGCACGTCGCAAGCATATATTGCCGATCTCGTTCCTCTTAAAGACCGTGCAAAACTATTTGGCTATCTACAAGCTGGCTTATTCTGCACTTTGGTACTAGGTCCTATCATTGCGGGTGTGCTCCTTACAACTTTCGGCTCTTTCCAATTCATATTTGAGATCGCTGCTTGCAGCCATTTACTGCTCGTCTTGACCTTCAGCTTTATCCTGCCGGAATCACGCCAGAAGCATTCCACTGGCAGTCACATGGCTGATACAGAGCAGCGCTCAGGCGAAAGCACAATTCAGTCGATATGGTCATCGTTCGAGTCGATTCGTGGATCAAGTATCTCACGACGAAGAAACATGGCTGTTCTAGCCTTTGTGGATTTTGTCGTCTTTGGTATTTACCTAGGCATCTCCCCGCTTCAACTGGCGTATCCAGGATATCTATTCCACTGGACACCAGCCATACAAAGTGTAGTGATGGCCTTGACATCATCTTGGAGTGTCCTCGTCCTAATAGTGATATTCCCCACGGCAATGATGCTTGTGCGTCGGTGTGACAGGCAGGCTTCCGGTATCCCTCTGCTAAAATTTGGAGAAATGGGTGCTATTAAATTCTGCCTAATGCTCCAGGTCCTGGGTTACATTGGCATTTCTTTAGCTCCGACCCCTGGCGCTTTCATTATCTCGTCTCTAGTTGTTGCATCCTCTGCTCCTATATCTCCTCTTTTAACATCATGTCTCACCGCGTACGTGTCCGATGACCAAATAGGACAGCTACTTGGAATTTTGAGCTTTCTACATGCGATTTCCCGGATTGTCATGCCTGCTGTGATGAATGCCATTTACAGCAGGACCGTGGGTATTTTACCAGCGCCGCTTTTCATAGTTCTGGCAATCTTTCAGGGCGTTTCATTACTGGCAACAATGGGGGTCAAAGCAAATGTTGTTAATTAGTTCAACAAGAATAAACACCCAGTCTTAATTTTTTTCTTCAATCTTGCTGAAACATTCATATAAATGGGTGAATATTGGTAAGCGAAGCTTGGTAAGCCGCCCTTGAGCAATACGAAAGCTGCGACTAACTTCTTCATCTAGTGGAAAGTTTGATTGTATACTAGTTTCCGAGATCTTTAAACTCCAAGCACTTGAGTCATCTCGACTATTTTTTGATGCAGAATAACAACCTCGATGGAGTATCTAGAGGCAAACAACTTATTAAATATCTCTCTATAAGAAGCAAGCTACTGCATCATTGGCTCAGAGTAATTTAATATAGGTGAACAGATTTTGCAAAAAGCGGCCGTTAGGAGAAGTCCAATAAATAGGATCTTCGACCGTTCACCCGAAGCAAAATATTATTTGTTTCCCTATAATGCATCGATGATACTATTTCTTCTTTCCATGTGTTAGCACTCCGATCTGCGGGGTCCGGACTCATTCCGGCCGTGTCGGCGTCGGAATAGGGCTAGTCCAAGGCTCGTGACGTAACCATCCATGGGTGGATTGTCTCCTTAAGCTGTCATCGCATTGGAGGCCTAGTTCGGAAATATTTTTGTATTTTGTCTTGTAGCCACGTCGGTCAAATCGATTTATAGCAAATGCTGATTTCAAAGCGGGGACTTGAAACGGGAATTGATCGCTGAAGTACTATGTATGCGTCTCATTGGAGCCTAGGAAGGCTTGTTTCCCCAGCTCTCGGGTCTAGGCAGCACCAGTCACCGTTCATTGAGAGTAAGCCATGGAGGCTGAGCATCTATCTCCGAACTTACAGGGGTAGCGTATTGCCCATGAGTCATGATGAATTTGTAATAAGAGATTCTAAAGTGCTTATTTAAAGAATAGTTATCTCTGGTTGAAGATTTGTACCATTACCTCCAAGTTGCTTCATTCCTCTCTCATTACGATTGATACTGCTTGACTTACAAGCATTCAAGTTCACCACCCAAAAAAAGCCTATCTATCCCTCTGATATAACAATTATAATGGCCGGCGCCGGTTCCCTTCAACGATCAACGGATGGCCCAGCCCCACGCACAGATGTGCAAGTCGCAAAGGATGCGTGGAAATTTGTCCAGCGAAAAGTTCAGAAACATCGCAGCCAACCCTCGATACCCGACGAAGATTTACACAAAACGATCTCCCAAGAGTCGACCATGAGCAAAGCAAATACTCTCGTTGTTTCATCTGACGACCAACCAGTCAAGAAGACTGAAAATTGAAATACGACAAGTTAGATTGAAGAGAGGGAAAGAGAGCTTGCCAGTAATTGGGGACTTGGAGACTGAGATCTTGGAAGTCTTGGTTCCTAGAATTTGCAACATTGCAAGAATTTATGGGTTTATTTGAATGGTTATGGGTTTAATGTGGTGCCCTTTGGAGTTTTTTCCTTCTTTTATCAATAATCTACCTAGGTATCCGCTATGTATACTATTGTCGGCTTGATCTGCATGTTGGTGGGGTTAAAAGGACTCCACCAGGACTTGAAAAGCGACAATGTTGGAACGCTATCTTCTTCAATATCTGAGGCCGCTAATGTACAAATGGATCATGATTCAATGTATATGTACTAAATTTCTATAATGAGTTCTGAGTTCTGAGTCACCGGAACTTGAATGGCTCTGATGATTAGCATTGATGTATTCTTTTTCTCTTGGGATGGCGTCAACTACGGAGTGGTACTCCAAAGGAGGTTACCTATGGGAGCCCACCATTCAGCCCTACCCTCGGCAAAAGTAGGAAAAAAGGCAGGGGGGAGGAGATGAGGTCCGGGGCTTGAGCCCTGGCCTTGGACTTGGCCTTGGACTTGGATATGTACTTGGGGCCTAGCCGAGTACCCCTCCGTGGCGAGTGGCAGCATCATGCTTTCCGTGGGGAGTAGACAGGGTCAGCTGCGGGGCCGATAGCACCACCAGGCTCGAATCCGCAGGGGTAAGGTACGACCTTCATCTGCAGTCATGGTTCTTGGCTGGTGCTAGCGGGGCGAGCAAGACCAAACACCAAGCTTTTGTTCGATCCGCCGGGTGTCGTCAGCTGAAGGAGTGTTTCGAACACAGCCAGGCTGGGTAGAGCCACGAGGAACAGTGAGATGGGATGATGGTGGGGGCCAAGAAGTAGGGGAGCTGTCAATACAGCATGTTAGATAGTGAGTACGAAGTACGGAGTAAAAGTAAAAGTAGTAAGTTAAGTTTACTTAATGTACTCCGTAGTTAACTACTCAAAGTACAGATGAAAGGTCTGGCTGACCGCTTGGTCACTCACTGGCTGTGATTGGCCACTTGTTGAGTTCTGCCACTTCCGTAAGGCTGGCTTTCCCCTTAACTTCCTCCCCGCCAGAAACTCCATCGACCCCTCCCCTCTCTCTCCCCTTCTGTTTTCTTTCCCCCTTTTGCAAATCCCTCCAGATCTAGCAAACATGGTATGCTTCTATCCTCCCTTTTCTCCTTGTCGCTCTCTATCTATCCTGCATCGCGGAATGGAGAGACTTCCTCCTCTCAAAGCACTCCCCCGCACCCGCGGGACAGACACTGTTGTCCTGTTTTGTTGACTGACGCCGCCATCGCATCTTTCTAGGCCGATTCTCTCACCGAAGAGCAAGTTTCCGAGTATAAGGAGGCATTCTCCCTCTTTGTGAGTAATCCAACCTCCGAATTGAATTGTGAGCGTGGGACCATTTAGGCTGACGGGTTATCTTGTGATCGACAGGACAAGGATGGCGATGGTAAGTACGGCCCATGCTGAACATCCCGTGCCCTTTTCACGGGCGGCATTTCCCTTGCGCTTGTATTCTATCAAATAATCGTTGAACCCGGCTAAAACTATTTGCGATCTGTAGGAGAAATCACCACCAAGGAGCTTGGCACCGTCATGCGCTCCCTCGGCCAGAACCCCTCCGAGTCTGAGCTGCAGGATATGATCAACGAGGTCGATGCCGACAACAACGGTACCATTGATTTCCCCGGTACGCTCCCCCAATCCGTTTATCTATTCCTCCGATTGTCTGCTCTCCTCCGACCGCCACAAAAATTTCAATATTGACATGCGCCTACAGAGTTCCTCACCATGATGGCCCGTAAGATGAAGGACACCGACTCCGAGGAGGAGATCCGTGAGGCCTTCAAGGTCTTTGACCGCGATAACAACGGTTTCATCTCCGCCGCTGAGCTGCGTCACGTCATGACCTCCATCGGCGAGAAGCTGAGCGACGATGAGGTTGACGAGATGATCCGCGAGGCCGACCAAGACGGCGATGGACGTATCGACTGTACGAATGCCCTCCCTCCCTCCACCCCACGCCATGCTGCAACCCTCGAAAACCTACTAATCCAATATTCTATTAGACAACGAGTTCGTCCAGCTCATGATGCAAAAATAAACTTCCACGTCGCCATGTGTTCTCCGTCTTTAGCTGAAATCGCGATTTTCTCAACGAGGATGTTTCTCTACCTTTTCTTCTCTTATTGTCTTCCAGCTCAGTTCCCGATACTATCTCTGTAGTCTATGCCTTTTTACTGGGCTATGGATTTGATTCTTCATGATCAAGCGTACACTTTGGAATGCAGGTAGCGAGGTATCGGGTTAAGATCGGGCCGTGGGGTGGGCTGCGTTTCATCATACATATGTGAATTGATATTCAATTTCTCACATCTATCAAGGTATATGCTGCTACTCTTGAGTTCACCGACACAACCGTGTGGGAATGTAAACAACGTAGACAATTAAACGCTCACTATATGCCCCAATCACCGGTTGAACCGTAAAACCTCCATATACTGCCTCGCCACATCGGCCCCAGCCTGTGGATCAGGATTATCTTCAGCGGAACCAGAAAGTCCACCCCGATTATTCCTCGCGCCCTTGATCTTCACCAATCGCTCCTTGACTTCACTCCCAATGCCAGGAACAAGAATCGCCTCTCTAGCCCCCTCAACCCCAACCCGGCCCCAAAACTCGCGAATCAGCAACGCCGTCGCCGCAAACTCAGCATCAACATCGCTCTCCTCCAGCACAGACAAAGACACATCGACGCCGGAGTCTGTCTCCCCATTAACATCCGAGACAACAGCCCCATCCAGAGAATCAATCACCGAAGGTCCACGCCACTCGATCTCAACGACCGTCCCCCGAACACGATTCGTCGGATAAGTCTGTCGCACATCGCCCAGTCGCACACGGAAATCGCCGATATCGTAGAACACGCCGTTCTGAACGACGACGGTTAATCGGTGGCACCAGAAGGGCTGGCAAGCGTAGGTGAAATGCTGGAACAGAGTTGTGTACGAGGAGTGCGGAACCGTTGTCATTAGCATGGACGAGGTATTACTAGTCGTGGTACTATCATTCGCACTCCCCGGCGCAACCGGAGTAGCAGCGGGCGAGGGCGAAGAGGCGTTAGGTATGTTGAACGGTTGCTCTGCTGGCTCGGAGGTATATATAAAGCCGTGATTGTGGTAATGGCTCAGTGAGAGAAATTGCATATACCGTGGCTTTGAGGGGCGCTGGTTTGGACCCGAGGACGCGGGTAATAGACCTGGTGTGTCACGCATGAGCTTCTGCTCTAGTGTCCACCGGCCTAGTTGGATGAGGTCTTCATCTGGGAAGGACGAGCGGAGACGTTCTGTTATGTTTCCCAGGGCTGTTGAGGCGTTTGGGTGTGCTGGGATGAAGTAGACCCTTTGGATTGTCAGTTCGATCACGGTGTGTATAGTGTGGTATTCCTGTTGGGTTTATTTACCCTGTGATTGGCATTTTGTGTGTATAGGTCTGCGTTCGCAGGAATTTATATAGACCACGGGGTTGTGATCAGATGCCCAGGTGCTGGTGCTCTGGCCTGGCCTGACGATTGACCTGCCCAAATGGGGAGCTTTGAGGTCGAATGTTCTTCAAGTTTGACTTCGGCTAGAGTTGAGCTCTCGCTATATTACTACCAGTACCAGTCCAAGCCTTTGCTTTTATTCAACGGTGAGCTGAGCAGACTCGGATAACAGAGGCCTGGTTGGTCAATTCAAGGTTATTGCCAATTGCTATCAATCCCAGATATGAAGCGATTTATGCAGTAAATACTCCGGATCCTAGTGCATATTAGTATGGAATCCTTCTTAACAAGCAGATGGAGGATATACCAGCCCAGCTTTGTGCAGTAATTCAGTGTCTTTGATTGAGTGATTGGTTCAAGGGAACACAGATTAACGACCGGCAGAAAGTCAGGCATCATTTCCGCCTCAGCTATCCGGCCTGAATTATTGGGCAGAATATGTACCTAGTTAGGCGGTGTGGGTTTGTATAGATGGCATGGCCATTAGGAGTAGTGGGAGATAATAGAAAGAGGAGAGCACATACGGGCTGTTCTGAAGAGAAATGGCGTCTGTATTACTTTCTCTGCTCGACTCAATTTGGACTAGGTTTATTATAAATCGTTTTGAGTATCATAGCACTAGTCTGCGAGCCCCCACTACACTTGGTAGACAACTTCGAAGCTTGACGTGAATGGTAAATCCAATGTGTCCCAAGTTGAATGCTATAAAATGCAACTTCTTTGTACAAAACTCCAAGTTGTTTGCCAACCGAGCCCAGATAATGCATGCCCATGCCCAACCATAACACCTTGAAAGATGTGCCCACAACAACTCCAAAGTGATATCTCAAAAATGCTAATGACGAATGAAGAAGAAAGAAAAAAGAGCACCAATAAAACGCTAGAAGAAGTCCTGCTCAACTAGCCATTGCGAATCCATGGCATAAGCAACAAGATCCGCCGCACAGCACATATCTTCATGTCCATGTTCCAGGTCAAGAAGATTAAGAACCGTTTCCATTCTACCCTCTAGCACCTGCTTAAGCTTTGCAATTCTGCTCTGCAGGCCCTTGCTCTGGTGCTCCTTAACAAGAGCAGCACTGCCAGCATGCTCTTGCGTCTTAGCTGGCTTAGAATTATCCAGCGCTCGGTTGGTTGTCTTCCGATTAGGCGAACATGGCGCAAGTGCTTGCCGCTGAGACTGAGTAGGAGGTACAGATACTACAGCCTCTGGCTTGCGGTTCTTGAGGAGATTCTTGAGGAGAAAGAGTAGCCAGACCAAGTTTGTCCGAGGCGCATACTCTGACCAGATCCCTGGGATATCTTTGATCTTTTCCGTTTGCGAGGGATCTCCCGTGTAGACTGTTGCGCGCATGCTGCCAAATAGTGTTAGAATAATAGCAGCGAACAATGGGATATGGGAGCAAACACATACTATCTGTACGTATTACGCAGCAGGATTTCATCCTCGTCTTCACCGATCGCATCGAAGATTTGCTTCTTATCCAAGTCCGAAGAAGCAATCTCGACCACACCTTCAGGGTCATCAGGCAGATCGGCCAAGCGGAGTTCAGCACGCGAGAGCGAGTAGTCGATTATGGTGGTCTCGATAGAGCTAGTGCCGAAGCCACTAGGAGAAGATTGTCGCACAGCATCCAGATCCGAGGGGGGGCTCCATAGAACCATCTGGCCTAGTCGACCGAATACAAACATTTCCAAGATGAAGATCGCGATGCTAAATCAGGGTTAGTACGAATTCGCTGATTCACTCGCCGTATTGAAACTCACCTCAAACATCGCATATTCCTCAGCACGGGCAAGAGCCATAGTAACGCCCCAAAAGATATCATAGATTTGGAAAATCGATGACCAAGAGAATTTCTCCAATTCACACCCCGCATCGTCCATCTCCACAATCGCCCACAACTGCGTATCCGCATACGACTTCTTACTAGAGGGATCAGGATTCAAACAGTCGTTCTTCGTCTCCTTATAATGGTCCCACGCTTTCTGGAAGGTCTCGGGGAATCGACCCTGTACAACATGAATCTCTCTGAAGCGCGCGAACCCGGGGATTGGATCAAGGTATTTAAGCATCTTCGCCTCGGCAGCAATTTCCTCAATAGAAGTGAATTTCTTCGAGCCGGGCCCTCGTGGCGCATTCAAGGGGACGACCTTGAAGACGCCATCTCCGTATGCTCGCAGTTTTGCCAATTTTGATTTCGAGACCATCGGTCGCTCACCCTCCTCGTGTAAATGCAGTTTGTAGACTTCGCCATAGGATCCTTCGGCTAATTTTGCGACGTGGAACATCTTCGTTGATTTGGACGCCCACGAGCCGAACCTTTGAATGCTTTGTGATGCGATTGGAGATAGGGATTCGTTGAGGATTGGGCGAACGTAGGCGTTGATTTTGGGGTCGTGGATGAATCCAGATGATCTCCGGCCAGCAGAGGTCTTCTTAGTAGATCGCTTTTCCTGGGAGAGATTGTTGGGCTTAGGTACTGCCTTTTTGGGTGTTTTTTGCGCGTCCGCTTCTTCGGGGGAAACCCGGACCTCCACCATTTTCTCGTATCGCTTCATCTCTGATATCTTTTCGGCGGGGTACTCGGTCGGAATATCCATAGACGGGAGCGTAGAATGGAAATCAGCGGTCATAGATGGTGGGTCGTTAGGGTGTTGGATTTTCGAATCCTCTTCCAGATCTTCTGCTGCTACCTCCTCATTCTGTGACGTCTCTACCTCTTGCGCTGCAGAAACTGGCTCCTCGTTGATGGTTATTTCAGCCAGCTTGGATTGGACGGCCTCGACAGTCGCATCAACAGCCTTGCGTGTCTCCCTCGCTGGGCTTTTTTGATCAAAGACTGCCCTGGGCGCATTGTTTTTCCGCTTCCCGTATACTCTTCTCTGAGCGACCGTTCTCGTAGTGGGTTTCCGAGTCTCCATGATTGTCGTTGTGGTCCGCAGATGGAGGAAAGTGGGAGGGTCGGCAAGGTCGTTGGGTCGCTGTCTGATTTGGGATGCGGTATAATTAGGCGAGAAGTGCCGGCAGATGGCGAGAAGAAGCGCTGAACCAAGGGAGTTGACGTAGGTTGGCACTCGATGCTTTTCCCGCCGACCATATTGACGTTTGTCCGAATAGGACTAGCGGCCCGTTACCGCGGTGAGCCATTCTTGCACCGGGCCAATCAGCGTCCCCTTCATATATGGACATATGTACACGCTACACAAGGCTGTAAACGATTGTCTGCGCACTATGATTGAATGTGGTCTTAGCCTTTTTGTTAACGTAGAGTCTAAGACCTATAATTCCTAATTTCCGACTCATTTAGGTTGAACTGAGGTGAGATCTCTCCTAGATCTGCTCTTTGAGTCATCTATTCGAGGTTATTTACGGATCCGGACCATCGCAATTTGACCACTTGCTCTTTTTACCATGCCAAGGTAGAATTATTGCTTTATTTTGTTTCGGCTTTCTAGTCGGGCATTACTAGGAATGATCAACTTGAATGTTTTCGTAGAAGCCACCACCAGTGGCAGGACGGAATCGGAAGGATGAAATCGAAACGGGGAATTACTACTAGTACTAGTATACTTCTGCTGAGGTGTGAGACAACCTTGGAACTTCCTGAGGTCATTTTCAGTTCTACTTCCTTACCTTGGTATGAGAACCTTGAAACCGACCACAATTCACCCCAAAACAACTTCAATCTAAGACGAGCACGAAGTCTCTCATGTCCTTTCTCCTCTCTTTCCTCCCTTCTCCCTTTTCTTCTACCTACTTAGGTAGGTACTAGTTCTATTAACACCGCAGCCATTGGGCGGGAATCGAGCCTCGAACACTTTCCAGCGCCAGCCAAGAAGAGCCAGATTATAGATCCGGAGGCGGCGCAGACCCAACAGGAGGAACGTGAGATGGCACAACCCTCCGCCCCACTTCGACATAGACTGGCACGACTGGCACGACTGGCACGACTCGAACGACTCGGACGATTCGGATAGAGAAGTTGAAAATTTGAAGATGCTACGCCCTAAATATACCCAGGCTAGTACTAAGCCACCTGGGCATTGACGGGACTGTTGGCAGGATTCTTTTTGCGTTTTGTTTCCATGTTTCCCAGCCCTGGAGGATGAAAATCTGGAGAGTAAACTTTGAACCTTCAAGTTGGAACCTACACCCTAATTACCTATGTATTAGTATTATTTGTATGGTGATATAGGTATTGTCTGTCGGTGGGAGCCGATGCGTTACGCGTCTCGCTCGCTTATTAGTACACTCAAGTATCCGGCAGTGACATTAATTTAGACTTCAACATAATACAAAACTACCGGAAGTTTGTGACGAGATATATCGAGCCGCGAAACATTCCCTTGGCAAGGTTGGGAAACGACTTCATCCTCCCCGCTGGCGGTGGACTATCCGGTAATGAGAGCCTCGCAACACTGGAGGACCACTGCGATGTAGGAGATATAAGCCCTGGAGGGGTGTCTTTTAGTTTGCCACTTTGTTTCGTTGCTTTTGTTTTCGATAATTTTCAATATTCGTTGGTGGTTTGTAGGTTCCTTCAACTGTACTCGATATTCCCCAGCAGAGATTCGGTTGGCTAGAGTAGATAATGGCCATCTGGATTGGCCATCTCATGCTTTTTACGGATTGAGATAGCATATTCCGGAATAAGGAGTATGTTTTTTTTTTTTTTACAAAAGTTTTCTCATTGGACCCACTTGGTTACTGGTGGACATGGCAAGTATGAAACCGCTATGCCGGTGATCTACGTTTGATATCCCTAGATAATGTTTCAGTAACAACGTCCCGACGGCAGAAAAGAAGATTTGAAGACTTGAAGAAGATCAAGTCATTTTCAAGTCTTTTCACCTCGACCCACTAGATCTGCGACGTCGCATTAGCACCATTTCCACCGATGGAGCCCCATCGTCATCGCCAACACCTGCTCGCGTGACGACAGAACGTGAGCGTTATATTCCGAACATGCATACTGTACATACATGTCGTCCAGGGCCGCAGCGGCCAATCAGCCGATCAAGCGCGAGGAGGAGAGCATCCCCCGCTATGATGAGACATGAGCGAGGACTGGGCGCGGGTGACCCCCACGATCGACAAGAAAACGACCCATTTGTGGCCCGGTGTTTGGCCGTGCACGAAGGCGCGTCCAGCCCCTATCCGGCTCTTCCAGAGAGAATAGTGGGAGAGACCAAAGTGGGCTGGTACTAAGCAAGAACATCGCACTTATGCAGCAGGGGCACATCACCGGCATCGGGTGCGATGTGAATGGCCGATAACCGCACCAAGTGGGAATACCTTCGGGGCTGGTCGGAAGGGTGGAGTGCAGGCTGAGCCGGCTGTGACGTACGGATAAAGGGGAGATGAGATGCAGTCTTTCGAGATGATTGAGAGAAGCGTAGAGGAGGGAAGTAACAAAATTAAATAATAATAGATGTGATAATGTAATAGCTGGAATAGCTTTAAGAGTTATCAGTTAGTAGGTAGTTGCTAAGTGTGTGAAAAACCGGCAAATCAAAAGCAAAAAGCAGGTGACGACCTCGGGAGTGCTTAGTCCTTTTTTCATTTTCTCCTTTCACCTTCGCCTTCGCCTTTACCTTTGCCATTTCGCCCCCCCCTCGCGTCAAACTGACACCCCCCTCCTAGTCTTTTTCTAATTTATTTACGTTCTCTCCTTGTATTTTCCCCTCCCTCTCAATGCGCGGGCATGGCGTTCAACTTCAACTGGTCGCCTTTGATGGCGGACGCGAGTTTTTACTCTCGCGCCCAAGAACTCCTCACAGCCGCCCTCAATAAGTCCCCCAAACCGCCTATCATCGTCGACGACATTATAGTCACCGAGTTGAACTTGGGATCTATGCCACCCAACTTGGAGATTTTGGAGATCGGCGATCTGGCGGAGGATCGCTTTCGCGGAATCTTCAAGATGTCCTATTCCGGCGATGCCTTCTTGACCCTCAAGACTCGCGTCCAAGCAAACCCTCTCAACACATTTCTACTTACACGACCGTCTTTCGCCTCGCCGCAACCGCTTGCTGCTGCGTACGTATTCATCCCGAAATACATGTTCCCCCCTCTCTCCCTCAGCGCATGCGCATCGCACTGCTGACCAGGACGAGACTCTATAACTTTGATCGCGTGGGCTAACCGTTGTCGCATATAGTACTCCCCTCACAATACCTCTCCAAATCACCCTCTCCGATTTCAAACTTTCCGGCTTCGTCATTCTCGTTTTTTCTAAACAAAAAGGAATCACCGTCGTCTTCCGCAACGATCCGCTCGAGTCGCTCAAGGTCTCCTCAACTTTCGATTCCATCCCGTTTGTGCGCGACTTCCTCCAAAAAGAAATCGAGGCCCAGCTCCGAATCTTGTTTATGGACGAACTGCCCGCCATTATCCACCGCTTGTCGCTGCGTCTCTGGGTTCCCGAATATCGCTCTGGCGAGGAGAACCAAAACGAAACCGACAACACCGAAACCGCAACGAGTGAAGGGCCTGGCCAGGATCCATTAGCCAGTCCCCCGCAAGACCCTGTTGACTCTCTCGGGAACGCTTTGAACGAGTCGGAGATCGCATCATTGTCCTTAGATTCATCGGTCGAAACCCATTCCCTCTTTTCGCAAAAGAACCTGCTCCGTCTCGCCGCCCTGACCGATTCCCAGCGCACCCTCTCATTATTTACTCCGTCTATTCAAGAAGTTGTATACCGCGCATGGACGTCTCCGGCCGATGCCAGCGATTTCCCCTCAAGTGTCGCCTCTCCTCTCAGCCCCGCCCTCTCCCGGACGCATTCCCACGTTGGTAGTCTGGCATCCTCCCTCCACGAAACCTCCAGCAATATTTCTTCACAAAGTCGACCTTCCATCGGTGGCCACTCCTACAGTAGCTATGGCCTGAATGTTAGCACCGGACGTCACTCGAAGGCTCACTCACGGAAGCGCAAGAAGCGAGTGGTGGACTTACGCCGTCCCAAGACCACCGATGACGCCATGAGCGTCAGCGATGACAGCTCTTTTAGAGAATCTACCAGCCCTCCGTCGATCTGTTCCGCACCGCTACCCGCCCTCAACGAACAGAACGATGACCCAGTGACACCGCCGTTGTCCCCAGAGACCGGGTTACACCTCCCATCGATTCCTGAGCGCCATCGCATGAGCATTTCCCGTCCGTCCCTCCTCCACAACACGCAGGACAGGCCGGAGCTCTCCTATTCTACCGAAACTATCCGTGCACCAAAGGGCGAGGACGTGGATGCTACACCTCGCGCAACCGTGCGAGGTCGCCCCGAGAAGGCAGAAGCTGGTCCCTCATCGGTCTCAACCCGCCCGCCACCGCCCGCCACTATCATTCCTCTCAATAAAGAGGACAAACCCACCGGCGAATCTGTCGATCCCATTCTTGTGGAACGACTAGCCGGCGAAATCGCTCGTCGCATCCGCGAAGAGAAGTTTGCACCTAATAGCGCATGCAGCCCGTTCTGGAGCCGCGCCCAAGATGATTCACCACCCCCGGCCTATGGCCACTAAATACTCGACCTCGCCTTTGTTGTCGAACACTTATTTTCTTTCCTCGAGCAAGTTCTCGAGCCTTTTATGACCGTTACGACTTTTATTCACTTATCTTTCTTTTTTGTTCGGAAGCGGGACTGTACAAAAATCATGGGTTTTCAAAGTTTTTGGCGTCTCGTTTCATTTTCCAGGGTTTTCTTCTTTTTGGTTTCTTTTGTCTTCTTTCTTTTCGTTGGATACCACACTCATTTGAGTCATTTGTGTATTATCTTGGGCAATTGGGATACATGGGGGGTATATCCATTATACATAGGATTGGGAACATGAATCTGGACATTTACTATTCCCCGTGTGTTATATTCAAGGATACTCATAAGTGTAGATGTCCTAGTACTTGTATCTAGTAGGTAATAGTAGTACCTAGGCACTAATACCACTCTAGGGGTGTACTTAGTTCACGTTCTGTGCGGCGGCAAAAAACTGGAGAAAACCGTGGGGGGCGCTAAGGCCAGCACAGCTTAGCTCCGTATTCGCACTTCGCCTTCTCTCAACCTCCTTTCTCTTCCATCCCCCATCGTCTTCCTCCATCGCAATCATGGCGGGTGTGTTCAAGAATGTGTTCGGCTCCCCCGGGGCTGCCAGCCCTGACGATGGTGAGTATCCAATTGCGCCATCTCAATTGCTTCCCTTTTCCCAATCCCACAACTAACAACTGTCAGATTTCGCCGACTTCGTCGAGGCCCCGAACCCGTCGCCCGCGTCACTTATCGCCGACACCACCACTGTCCCAGCTTTCAATACAGCCGGTGCAGTCCCCTACACAAAATGGTACCGAGTCTGGGAGCGCACATCGCCCAAGGACTTCATGCAGGAGGCCATGATCATGCCATTCATCCTCGTGATCGTCCTCTTCCATGTCTGGGGTACGCGGAAGAATCGAAGCCAGGCCCGCAAGTGGGCGCAGGCTCACATCCCCTCGCTGCAGAAGGAATTCTCGGTTGTTGGCTTCGATGGAATCGCGCGTCCCGGCCCGGGGGAGGGCGCCGACTCCGTCACCGTCGAGTTGACCAACCCGGAGAACCTGCTGAAGGAGCGAGCGGCGAACGAGTTCGCCGCATATGCGACCGGCCGTCAGAACATTGCTTTCCTTGATATCTCGCTGAAGCTCCCCAAGCGCTACAACCCCGTCACCTACATCATGGAATATGTCTTCAGCTTCTTCTTCGAGAGCTGGGAGGCACCTACCCAGAAGTACGAAGCTCTGATGTACGCTTTTGACGGCAAGGAGAAGGATCTGATTCCGGTTCTGGGCAAGGATACTTCTTCGTTGAAGGTCAACCAGTCTACCTATGATGGATTCATCTGGGCTGTTGTCCACAAGAGCCACATGGGCAAGTTCCGCACCGATCGCTACGACGCCTCCATGACTTTCTCCAAGGACCACCCTAAGCTTCCTTCCTGGGTGACTGTCATGTCTGAGAGCGCTGAGATCACCGAGAACCTTCTTACCGCGGACCTGGTCCAGGCTATTGAGAAGGCGGGCAACGACTTCGAGTATCTGATTGTCACTGACCAGCCCGTCGACAAGCCTACCAAGTAAGCAATGATTTAATCGATTAATCATCTAGACTAAGCTAACCGTTCCTCTAGGATCGATGAGACCACCCCGAAGAAGCGCCTTCAGTTGTCCGTCAACGTCAGCGCCGACTACTCCTCGACCCTGCCTCTCTTCAACCAGTACCTGCGCCTTCCCGACCGACTCGTGCAAGTGGCTCACTGGCGTGGCGAGGTTATGCGCAAGGTGCGCAATGCCCGCGAGGAGGAGATCAAGAAGCTCCGCCGCGTCGAGGAGGAAGAGAAGGCCGAGGAGCGCAAGTTGGCTGCGGAGAAGGTCAAGAAGGAGGACCGCGAGCGTCTCCTCCGCGGCATGAATGCCGAGGAGCAGCGTAAGTTCCTGGACCGTGAGAGCCAGAAGAACCAGCGCAAGTCCCAGAAGAAACACAGCCGCAAGGGTTGAGTTTGAGTGATAATAATGGGGATGGTTTGCATGGATGATGACAGGGACGATGGTATACCGGGGTTATAGGGATGGGTCCACTTACCTTTCACCTTTCTACTCTTTCTCGATCGAATCCGATGGCAAGCTATGCTACCGCCAAGCCCACGGCCACGTCGAGGGGGAGAAATTGTTTTATTCCACCTTTTTATTTTATTTTCCTGTTCTTCCTCTAGTCTTGTTTTGATACCTTGTCCTGCAGATGTACTCATACCTGAAATACCTGACAATTCCGATCTTGGGTGGCTTAGTGCTGTTGTTCTCAGTGGCAGCCTCTCTTTCCAATGCTAATATTGCCTGCATCGACCCTGCATCTGCCTGCATTTTGCCTGCATTTGCTTTTCAATCCTCGTCTCGTGGCAGTCACGCTGTACTTTGCAGTACTTTGCAGTATCTCGCTGCACCTTCCTCGTATTTGCTCTTGCCAACCCGATGCTGGCTTTGTTTGCTTGCCTTGGCTTCATTTCATGCTCCCCGAGGCTCTACTTCCTGTTCCTTTTCCCCTTCTGCTTCTATTCTCCTCATTCCATACTTCCCTTCAAATCTTATAAGATGCTCATCCCCCACCCACGCTGTTGTACTTTCACTCGCTCAGTACTAAGCAGGGCTATCCCTTATTTATACTTCGACTCTGAAAATCACTCACACGCTTTCCAATCCTATCAAAATGCGTCTACTTCCTTCTCTGACCACAGTCCTTCCTTTTGTGGCCTCCCTATCATCGGCCACTCCAGTCGACCTCTCCACTCGCCAGGCAAGCTCACAAGTCGCCGTCGGTGCCGTGATCAACAGTTGCGTGGTTCCAGGCACAATCGCACTAACATTCGACGACGGTCCTTGGGACTATACTCATACGCTTCTCGACACGCTCGCTAAGTACGGCGCCGTCGCCACATTCTTCCTAAATGGAATCAACCAAGGCAGTATCACGTCCTACTCGGACATACTCCGCCGGGCTGTGGCAGAAGGCCACCAACTCGGTTCACACACGTATGTTTACTGATTTTCCCATCTTATCTTTATCTTGTCCTCGATCCCTAGTTGAGTCAATTCTCACGCTGCCCCAGCTGGAGCCACCCATACCTCGAAACCCTAGATCACGCCTCGGTCCTTTCGCAAATGACCCTCCTCGAAGACGAATTCGTCCAAATTATCGGCAAGTTTCCCTCCTATATGCGCATCCCGTATCTCTCGTCCAATGATGCGATCCTAGCCGCTATGGCCGAGTTGGGTTATCATGTTATCGGCGCGAGCATCGATACAAAGGACTACGAGAATGACGACGCGGATCTCATTTGGAAGAGTTTCGAGAAATTTCGTCAAGAGCTTGATGCCGGTGGTTCGATTGTCCTGTCGCATGACACGCATCTTTATACCGTCGAGACATTGGCGGAAAATATGTTGAAAGAAATCCAATCAAGAGGGTTGAAAGGTATGTTGCCGCTTTTGATTTATTTGTCTTCCTCTCTTGGCTTTTGGCTGACCCTTGTAACTAGCTGTCACTGTTGGAGAGTGTCTCGGAGACTCAGCAGGGAACTGGTATCGCACTTCGCGATAGTCGGGGCTGGTCGGGGTGATGGTCACCGCACTATCTTGAGTCCCTGAGGTCGGTGTGCTGCGCGGATACTCTCTTTACTGCGTTGTTTCGGGTGAGGGTCGGCTGCCCGTATATAAAGTATCCTTAGCGTATAGCACGACGGAATGTTATCTGTTCAACTTCAACTTCTCTTTTGAATGCCTGTGAGCTCACCTGCGGTAGACAACCACTGGCAACTGCCATTGTTTAAACTACTACTAGGAATAGGTCGGGTGCGGTATTAGAAACCTTTTTTTAATCCATTCTGAAGCCATGATTGCAAGCTTTAAAATTAGATACGGAAGTTATACAAATGAAAAATATGAGATGGCGATCTCAGCATTGATATGGTCTTCTTGGACCCATTGGTCGCCGAAACACTCGACATCAGTCCCACATGTAAGCACTAGCTAAGGAATTTGGAATGATGCTCACGTTTTCAGGCCGCCCATGAAGATCTTAAACTCATCAACACAGAAGCTGGCTTTCGTGCCGTTTCTTTTTTTTTCAACCTGGTACGGCCAACAAGAAACGCTCAGCCCAATATGGCCGCAACAGAATCACCACCAAAGAAGGCGACAGACGACGGCCTACTCATCATCAACGCGAGCTTATTTCGCAGCGCCACCAAATCGATGGCCCTCGCATACCAAATCCTAGGCTTCAAAACACACCACGGTCTACTAGAAAAAGTCACAGACACACCATGGGTCTCCCTTGAAAAAGCCGCCGAAGCAACATGGCCCTCTGCGCCAAACGCCCGACCCCAAGCGCGCTTCACGCGCGAAGACTGGGACGAACTATGGGGAAACAAATACGACGCAGTGACAGACCTCGCCTCGCCCTTCGCCCTAGAACTCATAGAATCCTACCCAAACGCAAAGGTCGTCATCGTGCAGCGCGACTTCGAGAGCTGGTGGCCCAGTTTCCAGACCGAGATTCTCGACCGCGTCATGATCCAGCCAATGGCTACTATCAACGGGTTTCTGGGTCTGTATCTAATGGGCATTCCGGCCGTGCAGGCGATGCGGAAGATCCATTTCGGCTTCTTCGGCGCGAAGAGCCATGCGGGGATTCGGGAGCGCGCGAGATCAGCGTACGACGCTTACTATCGCGATGTGAGGGCGGCGGTTCCGGCAGAGCGGAAACTTGAGTATCAGATCAGTGATGGGTGGGAGCCTCTGTGTCAGTTTTTGGGCGTCGATGTTCCCGATGTGCCGTTTCCGAGGGATAATCATTCCGCTTTGCATGAGCAGGAGGCAAAGGCTCGGATGTGGCTTTTGTGGACTTATAGTGCCAAGGTTGCGGTGCCGGTTTTGCTTGGGTTGGTTGCTGTTTGGGCTGGGATTGTGTATAGAAAGTGACAGGATGATACTGTGACTGCCAGTAGCGGTGTATGGCAGCCAATAGCGGCCAGGGGAGACGAATTATTCTCGACGAGCAGAACCCTGGTCCTGGTACCTTTTGCATGCAATATACTGATCGGGAGATGGCTAATACTAAGTACCTAGTTACTACTTTTGATACGTAAAGAAGAAATTACTAGTAATTTCCCAGTTCCCGCCAATCTACTAGGAATACGCTCAAAATACAGCCACCCTACAGCATTTTTATGTAAATACAGCATTATAAATTAGTCCGATTTTCAACAGTATCTTTGAAAATACAATATTGCTGAGATACTATATTCTAAGCCTGTTTGTCAAATATATTATAGTACAAAATATTACAAACTTGAAAATATCAACCAAGACAACGCGTCAACAAAATCTCAAAGATTAGCAGAGAGGTTAGTAGAAGGGAACTTCAAGGGGAAGAACTTTAGAAGTTGAAAAACCTTGAAAGAGAAGAAGTTAAGAGCTAGAAGAGGAAGTAACCTTACCTAGGTAGTACTAGTAGTCCGATATACTAGTAGTCCGATATACTAGTAGTCAATATACATGCATAGGTAGTATCTGTTTAAGATTCACCTAGAACACACAATTTTACAGCTGCAGATTGTAATACTACGTTCGGACTACTGTATTTCCGCATATCCCTAGATTATGGGGAATCCTGACAATGTACTAGTAGGCAATACCCAAGTAGCCACTACTCACTAACTAGTTACTAGTCATTACCCAGATAGGTACAAGTAGGCAATAGCTATTGACTAGTTAGTAGTACACAAACTTAGGAAAATTACAACCAAGCCGCTACAGGAATTTAAGCGATAATGTTCAGGCTGCAAAAGTAGCGATAATTAGAGAATACATTTAGAAAGAGAGAGGGGGAGTTCAAATAGAGATCTAGGAGACGGCGGTCTCGGTCTAAAATATTTCATAATTTTGTCCCCCTTGGCCGTTATCGGCTGCCATAAGCAGTGGTACCATCCTGTTCCAAAAGTTCTTACCCACCCAATTTATCTATTAGGTTTTAATGTAGATAAGTTGGGTGGGTAAGAACTTTTGGAACGGGATGTAAAATGTGAATTGAGGTCCCGAGTCGATATCCAATTTGTCCGCAAGTAGAGAAATTATACTAAACTTGGATTCTCGACATAGACGCCAGATTGTAGAAATTGTGATTTGTATTGCCCCGGCACAATGGCGAGATACCGGATAAAAATGTCCAAAGAAAAAGTAGTACTGATCAACTAGGCAGGGACTATGTGTAATCCAAAGTCCCTTGACTTCATTACTTGTAGGTCCTTTAGACCGTCTAATGGTATAACTCTTAGCAGAAATGAAAAATAAAGAAAGAGAGATGAAAGCTGGAGCTCTCGGAGAATGGATGTTCACGAAGCCATCCTAGTTATCCTCAAGGGCAGCGTAGGTGATGCCAAAGTTGACACTGCGAATGGTCTCATAACCCTTCGAGCTGTGACGATCGCCGGAGATCTTAAGGGCGCGCACATACATAGTGTAATTGCCTTCTGGAACATACGAGCCGTTGGCCAGCTGACCCTGCCAGGAAGTAACGGTAGGGGGACTGCTAAGTCCATCAACAGTTCTGGGAAGGGCAGTCTGCTCGGAAATCGAGAGAATGGGGCCACCCTTGGCCGACTTGACACCAACAAGGAGAAGGTTCGTGCCCATGGAGAGAATGGGCGCGAAGACGGGGTAGGTGGTGTTGGCCTGGTCGAATGCGCCATTCTGGTTCGGAACGACGAATTGGTGGTTGGCCTTCACAGGCTTGTTGGTGCTGCTATCGGTGAGCACGTTGTTGCCAGCGGTGGTGTCCATGATAGTAACGTTGCGCATATCAGTGGCAACACCCAGGTAAGGAACGGAGAAGGAATCGCTCGAGGAAGTGCCGTTGAAAGTGATGTATCCGCTGTAGACAGGAATCCGGCTGGAGTCGAGACCCTTAGGAGGGGTAGCAATGACCTTGAGGACAGCAGACTGACCAGCAGGGATGATGACGCTAGTTGAGCTGAATTTTAGCGAGGCGCCTTGGGGAGTACGGTCAACGAAATCTCCGAGGTTGTTCTCCTGGGGGATGGTGCTGTTGACGGCGAGTGTAAAGACTGTAGCAGCGCCGACGTGGCCGACAGCGTAAACACGGGACGACGAATCAGTGTTATTGATGCGGATATAAGCCGGGGCGACATTCTGAGTGTCATTGAAAGAGATCGAGCTGGTGTTGAACTTGGTAGTGGCGTGCACAAACTTGTGGGCATCAATCAGACCGCCGCCCTGTTGAGCAACAGATCCTAAGAAAGGCTCAGCAGTGACACCGTCGTGGAAGACGTTGGGGTTGGCAGTAGTGGACAACAGGGTCTTGATCTCGGCGGGGCTGACATTGCCCTTACCGCGAGCCTCCATCAGAAGAGCAACGCAACCAGCCAGGTAGGGAGTGGCCATGGATGTACCGGACTCGATGGCATAGCCACCCTCAGGGAGCGGCCATGTCGATAGCATAAATCCACCAGGTGCCGAGACAGCGGTCTCCGAAAGAATCTCAAAACTAGGACCCCATGAAGTAAATTCACTAATCTGGCCGCCAGACTGAGGGTTGGTCTCGTTGATGAAGATGGTCTTTGAAAACTCGGCGCTGGTCATGTTCAGAGTGACATCGGCACCAGATGCAACCAAATTGACGAATTTCTCGCCAGTTTGGGCGGAAAGCATTCCATAGCCACTGAGAGTGTCATTCACAGCAGAAAACTCATAGGTACCAGGCTCGTTGAGGTAGATCAGGATGTTCTTCGCACCGGCCTGGATAGCGTTGGCCTGCTGGACCCGAGAGCTGCAGCCACCATAGCGGATCAAAACAATCTTGTCAGAGAGGTCAGGGTGGGTTCCGGTCCACGGCTCGCAGGAATCATTGACGATAGATGTGTTAAGGCTGCTCGGATACAGGCCATATGTGCCATTCTTGAAGTCGTGGCTAGCTGCCGCCTGCCAGCCAAACTGCTTAGTGCCGTTGGAGGTGTGGTAAGTAGCTCCAGAAAGCAACAGAGGACTGTATTTGTTGTTGAAGGCTCCAATGCCAATACCATTAGGGTTGTCGACACCGTTGGAGCCAAAGAACACACCGGAGGCTCCGTCATTACCAGCAGCGGAGAATGTGGGAATACCAGCTTCAGCCAGCCTCTGAATTGTTTGACCAAATGGCTCGTCTCTCCAGCCACTGTAACTTCCAAAAGAGGCAGAAATAATGTCAACTTTGTCCTCGTAGGCTCTCTTGAAAGCGGCAGTGATGATATCAGTGCTGTAGGACACCTTTTGCTGTCCAAGGATCTTATAATGACCAAGAGTCACGTTCGGGGCCACACCAGTGAAGCCATAGGGGTTGCTCTGAGCAGCAATCAATCCAGAGGTGTGGGTTCCTGTGGGGGATAATTAGCTGACAAGGTTTACAAGGCCATAGTGATGGTCTGCGAACTTACCGTGGCCAGCATGGCCTTCATACGGGTCAGTAGTGTTGTCCAAGAAGTTCCAGCCGAATTCAACCAGACAGCCCTTTCCGAAGCAGCCACCAAGGGCAGGATGCGTATAATCAATACCCGAGTCAATCACAACGACCTTGATACCAGTTCCCAGGTAGCCTTCCTGACGCAGTTTGTCAACACCGGTCATTATGTGAGGATAGTCATTGCTTTCGTGGCCCGCGGTGTCACGACGACGGAAACCGTGGGAGTTGGCAGCGGCAGAGCGACGGGCGTGGGAGTTGTGCGCAACACTTGAAACCTCACTCTTTGGCTGTTCCATCTCCCTGACGGGAGACACTTTCTTCACAGCAGCCCATGATGAGATCTGCTTAATAATGGCAGCTTCGTTCTTGTCGTCCTCGAGAGTGAAAGAGCCACCGTGGAAGAGAGCGAAGGAAAGGTCGTGGTTAAGAGTTGCTGGAATTCCGTGGTCATTGAGAGTAGACAGGAAGCTTGCAGATGACTATTCAGGTCAGTTGATTAGCAGACACCCTTATTGATCTCGATTGACGCGTAGACGAACAGTTTTGGAGTCAGCGAATTCGACAATGTACTTCTGCGCGATAGGGTCACCGTGGCCAGCCAGAGCCACTGGCAGTGCTGCTAGGAACGCGCCCAGCCATGGCCAAAGAGGGGCCATATTTAAAAGAAAGTGGTTTGTTCCGGAGTAGTAAAAGAGTGACTGGGAACAATAGGAATCAGAGAGCTCGGAGGGGACTCGGAGGTGATTAAGGTATATGCAGGCTGGCTGTCAGAAGCGCAATCTTTTAAATGCCGGCCCCTGACCCTGATTTCCTCTTCTGCGACTCATCAAGCACAAACTTTAATTTTTGTTGATTTTTATGCTGATCTGAAGGCCCTTGATGGGCCCCAAAGCCATAATCGTTCGAGATCGGCGTCGATAGCCGCCGATCCATGACTATTTTGGTTAGAGTATCGGACCCAGTAGCCAGGCACTGGATATAATTGGTTAGTCGGAGATTACCTCAACCTACGATCTGTGGTTCGATCGCTTCTTTTATCCGGACGAACGAGGCTCGATAGAGTCGGCCCGACAAAGTTCTCTCGATCTGTGCGATCGGGCTGTGCACTTGAAGGCCAAGCACGGCGCTCCATAGCGGCAATCGACAGGGTGCAAGCTGTCCAAAATTACTGTTGCGCCCTGTACGAATTTGGACACAGAATGCTAGTATTATCTTTTGTAAATAGTTTGAGAGTACCTATAATCAGGATCAGGAAGTTATTACTTTGTTGATGCCAGCATATCAGTTGTTGTAATAGACTTCGTAAATTTTATACCACCGGGTATCTTCCTAGTATCTTCCTATCATCCTACCCAGTATGCTACCGAATGATATACCCATTACCCTAAACAAGTAGGGTCAAGCATTGTGTTTACGTAGAATAGCTTCGACCGAGAGCTGGGAAATTCTTGGCAAATCCAAGCAGAAACACTGGGTCGATTGCCGCCAAGGAACGCCGTAGGCCAAGCCCGGAATTATTTTACGCATTGGCACTACAAACAGCGTTGAGGTACCATCCACAAAATGACCATCATTATAGGCTATGAAACATTCGTTTGAAGTTTCCCTGGTACTAAGAGCTGTCACAATGCCAAGTTCCATGCAGTGCTTCAGGGGGCTCGATCAAGATATTTGAGTGCCAAGAGTCTGCGATGGAGTAGATCTGTATAGGCTCGCCAGAATGAATGACATCTTTCTTCCCGGACTCCAAGTTGATCATCCACAAGTTCTGGTCTCAACCGAGCAAGGTTCTCATCAATTTAACTATTAGTTATCCGGGATAATGATAAGGAGTGTAATTCAATTTCATGCTATGTACCGAGTCGTCTATTTCCAACAAAAAAGCAAATACATCGTGAAATGAAGATATGTGAAGCCCTTGGAAGGCAGAAAAATGACAGCAATCCGCCGGGTCATCAGTCTGACCGGCGAATCCGGAGACGCTCAAAAGTAATCTTCTAGTTAATCTCAACAGTCCGATTCAGAGTCTCCAAGTAAGGGTAATTGCCCGCCTAAATTTCGAAGTTAGCCAGATCCGAGTTGTACAATGCCATCGGAATCAATCAGTACTTACGCCAACGAGGGCGAAATGGGCGATGTTGACCTGGGCCTTGCCGTCCTTGATAGTGGAAGGGATGGTCACAGTGAAGTTCTCATAGGGAGGAGCGCTAGATTCGTGGTATACGGGCTTGAAGTCGCCGTGGTAAAGGATGGTTCCCATTGTGTCCTCGGGGCTCAGGCAAGGCGAAGAAGCACAAGATGAGATACCAATTGCAACCTGCAGCTCGGTCGATCCGGTTAGGGAGTTCTAGTCACAATATCAGTAATCTACTATCTTCATGAAATCTAGCATATAAAGTCCGAGTCGTTCTTCACACATACAGGTCGCTGAATCTGCACAACAGTATCACTACCAGCCTTGAGCTTCTGGCCCTCAGCGGGGTATCCAATACCGGCATTTTGAGCCAGAGCAACGCTGGCTAGGGCTGCGAGAGAGACGAGGAATTTCATATTATCGGTTGGAGATGTAAATAACTTGAAGGTTGAAATGTAGATATAGCTGGTATATGAAGAGGAATGTACCGTTGGACGATGTGTGGATGGATGAGATACCTATGTTGATTGTAGGTAGGGTCCGAAGAGGTACTATCATGGGGTATTTATAACCTCAAATAATCTGCCCTGTGGTTGAATCGGCTTTTTAGCCAGAGCAACCTAGGTTTCATGACAACCGTGGTCCGGAGTGGTGATTCGCCAAGTCTCAGCAGATCCTGGTGAAGTGTCTCGGTAAGCTGCCCAATACCCATGTTTCTCACCTCCTTGTGGATCCCCTTTTTGCGGGTGGCCCAATCAAATTTACCCAGGGGGCCTTGGAACAACCAGTTTGTACCAAATAATTGATTCTCCAAGCCAGGACTGTGAAGTTCTTTTTTTTTGGGTTGGTCCCTTGGAATTCATCGGATGGATATCGGGGACCTGTGATGGCGGCGCGACGATCCGGCACTTGAGGCGCCCAGGGCCGGGGTGGGTCTCGGGGGCGGGGTTAAGCCACACGCCACCAAGCCATCAAGCCATTAAGCCACTGGGCTGCCTAGTTTGTATTTCACATCATTCGAGAGCTCAACAGCTGTGACCGGATTTAGTAGCTGCTGAGTAGAGCTATTTCAGGGCTGCTTCTGATGCAAGGCTTAGCGGTTTGATCACCAATAAAATGTCTCAGGTAAGCTTCCAACGAACGTAAGCGTGAAAAACGCCTCCGGTCTATGTAACAATTACTAGAAGGGGGTTACAGGATCAGCTGTCTAAAACTTCACCAATGATAAACTAGTACATAGATTCTCTTATTATTGCTAATCCCACGAGGCGTCTCATCAATGTCAGGTACAATCCACTTAAATGACATGGTGTGCCTTGAGCTGGTTGGTTGATGTTCTTTCTAGCCCGACTCCGAGTCTGATCAATCACCTGCAACTGTGCTATTTTTACCAGGGATCATTGGCATGGTAGCATTCCCATTGTTTGATGAGGAGTTGACCTTTGAATGAAATATCTTCTCTCTTTGATTTCTGACCTCCTGTGGAGAGGTTAAACACTACCTTGGAAGCTTTGACCACCTTTTTATTTTTGTAGCGACAGCCTTTTCGGACGAGCAAGGCTTTGAGCTCTCAAACTAGAAGACTATGATCAGAACTCTCGCGACACTACTACTGGCATATCTGACCTATGTGAGTTATTCGGAAATCGTTAGTGCAGTACTAGCTGAAATACTAGTAGACTGCCCAGCACATCGCAGACTTCAAATTGCTCAATGTTAGTTTCCTGATTTTTGTCCGTCTGATTTCAAAAAATCGTAAGATCTACTATCGGTGAAGAATCTTGAAGAATAGTCGTTCAGCCAGATTCATTTTACTAGAAATTTGGTTCGTGTAGAATCGTGTGACATGGAATATTAAGCAACATCGGGACCGGGTCAAGATAAGCATCGACCCCCTGTAGTACGATCGATCTTTGTGATACGAAGAAAAGTAACAAGCAGGTGGGAAAGCTATTGAGAGGCGAGGGTGAATATGAAGAGCTATAATGGACCATTGAAAAACTTCTATCTGTTCAAAACTCAGCCATTCAGTCTTGGCAATAAGTCTACAAGCCGAAATGAGTTTGCTTAATAGTGCAAAATTCAAGCTTGTAGAAAGAAATTGAGTTGAAGCCAAGTTGAATCTTCCTGTGGGATATAGCGAGTAGAAATATCTCAGCGACCTAAGCAATTACGTGAAGAAGTTGTAAAATATGAAGTACTATTTTATCCGATCGATAAATGTGTGACATTTTAATCCCACCTCAATTTCAAACTCCCCTTTTTTCTATCCACAAGATATACGACGCATGCACAGGGCGGCGATCAGCACTATGTCCACGCTATGTGTCCGAAACTGAGTGGTCGATGGTGGGTGTATCTCGTCCGAATAAGATTTCGCGACCACCAAATCGCCTTCGATAAATGCTATAAGCTGTTATTTGGCCACTCTAATCATCCACAGTTTCCTTGAATGTAGATATTCACTGTGCCTCCGTGTCGATCATTAGACGGGGTACACTATCTCTATGTGAAAAGTCCTGGCTCCACAATTGTTTAATTCATTGACAGGTTTCCCTCCCCCCGTGACTTTACTCCAAACTCTATCTATAATAGATGGCGTAGAATGAGAAGATATGACCTGGGAGAAATTTACGAATTAGAGAAGCAACGCAGGTGATGAATGTAGCGAAATCAATTACAAGACATATTAGTGGGTGCTATGAGGTGATTATTTGGTGGCTTTTTTGTGGCTCTTTGCTGTGTTCAGAGGTGGGGAAATTTCGAGGAGCCTGAAATGCTTAATTGTTCGAGGACTATCCTCGTTGCATGACTGCGATCAAAATTTGGTAACCTGGGTGGCGGTGGTTAAATCTAATGCCTAATCCATTACCTAGGTAACAATATGATCTTATCACGATTTCTCCAAAGTTACATGTGGAGACAACTATGAATCGAATCCTCTTCCACGTGGCAAATTCTACACAATGGCAGGTCATCGATGGGTTTTTATTTGAGCGCTCAAAGTACGAAGTCAGTCCGTCCCCATCTGAGTTTGCAAAAGATTGACTTGTAGTCCGCAAAGAATGTGCCGATCGTAACTTTATCAGGCTAGATCGACCCCAATCTTAGAGACCGGAACATAATTTCCTATTCCGGCTGGATTGACCTGACTGGCCTCGGGATCAGATGTTTTGGATCAATAATCATCAAGGCATCCGTATGTCACAAGATGTTCGAAATAGAAGTAAACTGATCTGATCTTTCATGTGAATCCATGATACGAACTCCAACGTGCACTAGCCAGGCAGAAAATATCCTGTTGTCTTAGCGTCGCGGATTACAGTGCGATTTTACGCTCCAATGACGTCAAATCATAAAAAAGATTCGACCAGTCAAAGCAAAAGAATCAGATCAACAGGGTGAATGGCGGGGTGTAAAGGGGGAACTGGATGATGGACCCCCATGAACGCCAACGGGGTGTGGTCCCCACACCTCGGCTTCAGGTGGACCGGTCAAAGAAATCAAATATAGATAATGTTCCTGGTTTCCCCAGACTAATTCCCTCTCTTACACAACCACTCTCAAAATGGCAGCCCCTACTATGCGGAACCCGAAAGACTCAATGAAGTCCACCTGGCGACTATGGGACAAGTCAGAATGGAATATGGGCCACTGGCTTCTCGAAGTGTTGAACGTACACCATCTAAATCTGGGCGAGGATGTCCCAGTTCACCAAAAGACCGAAAAGGTTCCATATGCACCTGAAATGCAATTTCACCGTTGGGTTTTAACTCATACTTTTATTCCACTCGTCCTTCACCAACTCTATATCAACTTCTTCGGCCGGCCGCATGGGCTTCTGGTTTTTCTCTTCTACAGCTTGGCACTCGAATTCAATGCTGTACACGAAGTACAAATGCTTCGTCGTGTCGGCCACAAAATCGGATTTTTCGACGGAGATAAGCATGCTCGCGATGGTGTCCCTGACGTTGGCGTCGGGAAAACCGTCCAGACCGTGCTGTCCGTGATCATCTTGCGCCCAATGTTCACCGTTTTCCTCGCCTATCGTGGCGATGAAGCCCCTGCCTCAATCCGGTGGGGATGGCTTATTTTCGAGACTGGCATGTACGCCCTTGTCCTCGACTTTTGGTACTACCTTTTCCACCGCGCCGCTCATGAGACGGAGCACCTCTGGAAGTTCCACCGTACCCACCATCTCACCAAGCACCCCAATCCTCTCCTGACTGCCTATGCGGACAAGGTGCAAGAGTTCATCGATGTCATTGGCACTCCGGTTATCACTTATGGAACCATGAAACTGATGGGATTTCCCATGGGTTTCTATGAATGGTGGGTTTGCCAACAATACATCGTTTTCACGGAGGTTCTCGGTCACAGCGGCCTCCGTATGGTCGCCACCGCGGTCAACCCATGGACCTCACTTCTCAGAGTACTTGATATGGAACTTGTGATCGAGGATCATGATCTTCATCATCGCAAAGGCTGGAAGAATAGCCACAACTACGGCAAACAAACCCGGGTATGGGATCGGCTCTTCAACACTTCGATTCCTCGCATTGAAGGACATGCGGATAACATCGACTACGTGAATACGGCTGAGATCCCTTTGTGGTAAATATTAGGAAATGTCAGCAATTTATCTGTTTATTCACGCTCCTGGGTAGATCAGGAGGAAAATTCGTCCTTTGTGCATGTCATTCATATATAGATCATACAAAGTCTAGTCACATACAAGTAAATGAAGCTTATGACCCATTTCAAAAAGACCTATCTATTTAACAGTACTTTTGCCCTCATGCAACTGTGGAACAACTTGAAGTGGTTTAACCTGAATGGGAAACTCTAATACTACTAGTACTAGTACCCGATGTCCCCTGGCTTGATACTACAACGCGAGAGAATCATAACTGCTTATCTTATTTCCTTGGAATCTAAGACTACTTGCCTTGGTGCTACTTACCCTACCATCCTAGAAGAGTCATACTTGACAGAGATATCTACGAGAGAAGAAAGAAAGTTTTGAAGTAAAGTCTGATCCCAATTTGAGCAAAGGAAAATGCTAAAACAAATGCTAAATACTAAACAGATTCAATCTGACAAAATCATACAAAGCTGATAGAAATTTCTCCCTGTATCAATTTTTTACAATTCCTCCTCGACCTCGACGTTGTTCTGTCCGAGATCCAACTCCCAGAACTTAATCTCGGTCTCGAGGGTGTCCTCACTACTGGCGGCCTTGCCACCACCAAACTTCTTGAGGTCCCACTTCTCAACACCCTCGAAGCCGGTAAGCTCGGTTTTGAAGACGTTGAAAGCGTCGGCGTTAAGGCTCTCGTACTCGGAGTAGTCCTTGGGCCAATCACCCAGGCGCTGGACGGCCAGCTTGAGGAGTTGCATGTGCTGGCGGGCGTGC